CTCACGGTGACTCCTCGAGAGGACTCCATTAATCGTGACTGTCGTGACTGTTGGCTCTGATCGGCGGTGATGGAATGTAACTGTCCTAAAGGACGAATCGTGTCATCCATAAGATATTTCCATTTTGTCATTTATTTTCAAAAACTCTTTATATAAGATTATCAATATAAGCGTCGTAGTTACTTGATTTTTTTCTGGTGTTTCTTTGTGCTAGATGATTCTAAGTTTCTTAAAGTTTTGATTTTGAGTAAACTTACTCAATATCAAAAATTTAAGAAATATCTGCAGGCAGATTCTTATATACTTAATCCTTACTTCATGTTTCTCTAAAGTGGCCTTATGCCAGACTAACATATATTATTTTATATATTAATTATGTGAATTCTTTCTTTTCTTTTTTTTTTTTTACTGTGATCGATCAGAATTCAATAATTCATTCATGATTTTACTCTGCCGCTGACCAGGATTTTCAACGAAAAGGACAGACTGGAATCGACTGAAACCAGGATCAGCATTCATTCGTGATGTGAATATAATTCCGTTCATTGCAAAGCTTATGAATATAAAGCAGCCAGTTTTGATACCAAGAGTCCGAATTAACGAGTCATATATGCTGATCAGCCTGACACTGTATTTTACTTTACGATACTAGAAAAAAAAAAGATTAAAAAAAACAGAACTTACTTTAATTAATCAGTCTTAAATGGCTGTTGGTTGGTCGAAGCTTTGCCGTTTTGAAGTTGGACGTGAATAACCAGAATAAATTTTTAAAAAGACTTTTAATGATAAAACTTTTAACTTGATGGAGTTTTGACGACTTGGCTTTACGTCAAATTTTAGCAATGGCTTCTCGAAAAAGTTGACATGAAATAAATTTTTTTAATGCGTAATATCGACAAACATATTTCCAACGATTGACCAGTTTAAACAAATTTTCTACATTACTGACCTTTTTCTCTTTCCATATATCGATCGATCTATCGATGAGTCAATCTTTTTTATATTCTTCCATACCGACGATTCGGAACAATTCAATTTCCTTTCTTTCTTTATATGCGCACAAATATTATATCCGTATATTCACACATAGATTGCAAGTAAAACACCGTCTCTGGTGAGTCTAGTAATCTGGGTAACATAATGAGGAGAGCAGTAAAAATATTCCCTTTTTTTTCATAAAAAAATGTTCTATTTCTCCTCTTTGCTTTTGGTATATATGTCCTTTAGGAGATTACAACTCCAAAATCGATAATCAAAAACCCAAATTAAATACTTACATGTGCGCCTCACTGTTGCTTATAGAATCTTAGTGCTGTTCATGCACATATAGATAATCACAGTAAAATTGTTAGGAAAAATATTATGCAACATTCATTACAAGGAAGTTGCAACATGCTCAAATCTAAAAAATAAAACAAAACATTAAATGAAATACATTTATGAAATGAAATACATTTCACCTTCGTATATAGTAATAATAATAATAATAATAATAATAATAATACATGCGTTTATGTCTGGTACTGTATACCGAGCTGAATCCCAAAAAAACAGAATATCAGCCATAAACACCTTAGCTGTCTCTGTAGTGCAATTCAGTTTCAGCATCCTTAAGTGGACCATAGCTGATATTAAGCGAATGAACACTAAAACGAGAAAGCTTCTCACTTGCTACCGCATACGTCATCACAAAGCTAATGTTGATCGTCTTTATGTGCCCAGATCAGAAGGAGGCAGAGGAGTAGTTCAGCTAGAACTGGCTTACAAAACTACAACAATTGACCTTCAAAAATAACTGGAAACTACAAACGACTGGATGACGATATGTGTCAAAGAACATGAAAAGAGTAAGCGACGTTATTCCGTAATAAAGGAAGTCAACAATTTCAAAATGGACTTTCAAATGGGTGTAGAAATAAAGTAAAGTGCAATACACCGACTGAAGTTGCAAAATACTTAAAAAAAAATAAATCAAATGCAACCGAGCAGATAGAGAATCGATGGCAAGATAAACCGCTTCACAGTCAATAATCTGCTCGTAACAAACAAACTGATGTAGACAAACACTATACCCATCAGTGACTACGTGGTTAAAAGCTGAAACAGAATGTTTTATCCTTGCTGAACAGGACCAATACTTGTTAATTAGAAATTATTAGGCACACATACTAAAAAATGTGCTAGCCCAAAATGCAGATTCCGTTAAATATCCAGAAACAATTGCTCATCTTGTATCAGTTTGAACAGTATTGGCCCCCACTGAATATAAACTCCGGTATGACAGAGGGGTCCAATATCTGCACTGGAAAATCTGCAACTTTTACGGGAAGGAAACTGAAAGAAATTGGTATGAACACCGCCCAGTCAGGGTTACGGAGATAGGATCTGTAACAGTTGTATGGGACTTTACAATACACACAGACAGAACAATCAAATTTAATAGCCCAGGCATCATTATTAGAGACTGCAAACAAAAAAAAGCCTCCTTATTGATATCGAAGTCCCTGAAGACCGCAATATATCTTGAAGAACTTTAAAACACTATCAAAATACAAGGATTGACTGGAAAAGATTCCACTAGACTCGTTAAAGGGATTCCTGGTAGTCTATACCTTAAAGAAATATATAAAAAAAATGTTTTCATCTGTACAGCCCACATTGATCCCCTTATCTGCCAATATCCAGAGTCTCGGGGAGTTTTATTCATTCGCCAAGTGATTCGTTGCAAAAATTTATTGAAATTACAAAAGTCATCTGTTGATATTTCTGAGATGAGGTATTATGCCTACTATGTACATTATTCGGACTATTGTCCTCATCTTTGTCGCCATATTTATTACAACGTTTCGGCCGTTGTACGCTCCGGCCTTCTTCAGGTGGTTGGAATGTTGAACAGAACCCTTTATTTCGCTCACCGGGGAAGATTTTTCTAGTTCCACGTGCCATATCTAAGGGATGCCAGTTATCAGTTATCTCCTGTTAATTACTCTCTCCAAGTTCTCCACCGCCTTAACCAGGTATTGAACTCACACTCTTTGGGTCCTGTCACTGGATCTAGCCAACGCTTTAGATGTTAGATGTTAGATATTATTTAAAGTCAACTTGAGATTTTTCATAGGAATATTTGAACCACTCCAGAGAGTACGTGACCCTTTCTGTTGTGCTCTGACATTACAAAATGATGTATTGCTGCCATATCGGGACAGGAACTGCCAAATCCTCACTCTCCAGACTTGAAAGAGTTTAACAGCGTTTACTTCGCCATGTGGATGACGAATTATTTAAACCCGTCTCTCGTTACTCTATCGCTAATTTCATGTCAGATGTTCAGGTAAGCATTTTTTAAATTTTTTTTACAAGTAAGGCGATAATGGCACTAAGACGCAAAGTTTGACAGGAGATAAAAGAGGACGAGAAGATAAAAGAAAGGGTAAGATTCAGAAAAACAAAAGCAGGCGATTTATGTTAAATTTATACTTTTGAAGACTCTAGGTGGAAGGGAAGTAAGAAACCGGAAGGGAGTTCTACAGGTAAGAAGTGCGAGAAGACTATTCTATTCTATTCGAATAGAATTTAAGGTTACATCTAGCTATATCAAAAGTAAAATGATGCGACCTAGTTACTAATCTAGTAGTGCACCTAAATTCATGTCATTGAAGTACCAAAGAGGAGAACTCATTAGAACAATTACCATGAAAATATTTATAGAAAAGATATAGAGAAACCATGTCAAGATGGTGGGAGGTTACTGAAATCGAGATGCCAGGTCAAGACCGATAATTTTACAGACCATTCTTTGGATTTTGTCGAGAAATTTCTTGGTACATTACAAGAGCGCCAGACCAGATATGGTAGCGATATATAAATGGCTAATAGAATTTAAGGGCCACCTCATTACGTATGTTCCCGCCCCCGTGTCTTTAAAAATTGAGTTATATTTATAGATGAGATATTTTTGGTGTAAAACAGGAAACACTTTTTAATGATTTTGGAAACCATCCAGTTACTTTTCATTTGCAACTTCATGATATTTTTATCTGAAGTCTACAGAAATGTATCTAGAATGAAGAACCTTCATTACACTGAAATTCTAGGATTCAAATTCACTAGTAAAGAATCCTAAAGGCATAAAGATGATGGAGAATGAAAATTCTCACTTGCTACAGCCTTGAAATACTAGATCACCACAGCTGAAAAAAATGAGTGACCCCACTCATCTTTGGGTCCCTGGGCTGCAACCCATACTTGCCCATATATAAATTCGACACTGTCATGGCCGGTGCAAGGGTTCTTGCACCCCCACTGAATCTGTGATATGCCCCACCACTTTACTATATCTCAATTTTGATAAGGTAATATTCATATAAATTACAAATGTTATTGTAACCTAATGATGTAGAATAATGGATCATATACAATATAAGGGAACAAGGAAAAGTGAAAATAAATGCAATGTACCTAAATACAGATTAGAGACATGTCATAACAGACCATCATAAATAAATCAAGAATGTTAGATATCATTTAACGTCAACTTGAGATTTTTCTTGTTTAAAACTGAAAAATTTTAACATTTTCAACATTATAGATAAAAAAATTGATTTTATATAGAACTTTTTCTAGAAATAAGATGAATAAAACTAATTCACGGATTTGGACGAAAAAATTTCCAGAATTTCATCAAAATCCGCTAAATTTGTTCATCCTTCAATAGTCAGTTGTGCCTAATTTAATTTTTAACTTATATAAGTAAATAGAAAAAAACAAATAACGTGGGTTACACAGCACTTGTAACAGATTGTTTTTGAAGATGATAATGATTTTGTGACAGAAGGCTTACTAATTAATCCATAGCTGGGGGAGAAAAGGTTGATTTATAATTTTTCCAAGGGTATTTGCATGTAAGTGTATATAACCAACCCAACAGAAATTGAAACTAGGCTCTCCGATCAACAATTCCAAGCCATTATACATTACACTATACGCACATTTAATCTTATAGCATCTGGTAGTCCCAAGCGGTTACCCATCTAAATACTGACCAGTCTCAGCGTTGCTTAAATTTGTTGTTCATACGGGAGCCGATGTTTCAACGTGATATGGTCGTAAGCGTAAATCATCTTCGGCTTTATACCTTAAAATAGATTTTGTATGATGAATGGCGGCTTGACGAGTACAAGGCGAAACATCAAAAAGGCAGACGGTGCGCTTTTCATGAAGTAAGAGTTCGTTCTTTCATATTGACCAAACAATTAATACACACAGATATGCAGACTCGCTTACAATAGTGTATTTAACATTCAAATAAGCCATTCCTTGTAATGGATGCCAGTATTTGTGTCGCTAAAATAGCATTACTCATGTCAAATCAGTGGAACATAAAAACTGGATAACAGTTTGTCTCTTCACCAGAACAAGGGATTGCAATTTTTCAAGCAACGAGACCATCAGGTTACAGGCAAGAACTTCTGCTGTCAAAATCAACTTGAAGAATTTATTAGTTACCGAAACGAAGGATTCGTTTGAGACAGAATTGCCAAGGTGAAATAAATGTGCAATGACTGAGATTAAATTATGATTAAATAAATACTATTTTTTTTATTTTATCAATCTTTGTTGAAATGAATCGGGAAATTTACATTTACGAATGTAAATTTGTATCCATTACAATTATTTTATTTAAATCTTTCTTTCCGTTTTTTTGTACTTGCTATTTATCTTTCCGTCTTTCATCATTTTAATTTACTTATTTTAATGAGAAAAAAAAAGAACAATTTATATTCGTTTATTCTTCTTCAACTTTTTCTTCTTATCCTCCTTTTCCCCCACCTTCTCCTCTCTTTCTTCTTCTTCTTATTCTTCTTCTTTTTCTTCTTCTTCTTCTTCTTCTTCTTCTTCTTCTTCTTCTTTAATCTTGGAATTTTTTCTTCTTTTAATTGTTTTAAATCCAATCATCTGTATCATGACATAATACGTTACAGAAAAACTAAAAGACATGTAATTAAATATTTCTTTATTGTTTTTAATTCTCCAATACATATACAAATACGCACACACACACACGCGCGCGCACACACATGCACGCACATACACATATACATTCAAGTCGTCTGAAGATCGCGTGAGCATGAAACTCGATTTACGACTAGAGCCATCCTTTCATAGGATTTAACGTTGGTAATCGTTTGTTTGCTCGTTCTAGGCAATCTGGGCTTTGAACACTTTACTTAGGTATGTTTGCTTTCAGGCCTTTTTTCTCTTTCTTTTCTCAGTATTGTCAGTTATATTCGAGACTGTATCTGGAAAGAGTTTAAGGTTTTGGCAAGTTGTCCATTGGTTTCCCCAACGGCTTTTGTTTTCCTTTTTATATATATATATATATATATATATATATATATATATATATATATATATATATATATGTATGTATGTATGTATGTGTGTGTGTGTGCCTGTGTGTACATGGGTATATAATTTTTCGTCGTCTTCGCTCCTCGAAAGAGAAAAATGAGTTTGTTCTTTCATTCCTTTTTAATAGTGCATGTAATAGCATGTGAGTTCGACTTCTAGTCGAGTTCCTTATATTCACTGACGCTCAAATACCATTGGCAAACGTATAAATCCATCTCCTCCCCCACCCCAGCGAGAGGTTTTATTTTAGGAAAAACCAGGTCCTGTAACCTTGGTTGGCAACCAGTTTACCACAGAAAGAAATAACATACTGCGCGAAAAATTTTCTGTCCAGTCAGTCATGGATCGAAAAAGACATGATCACCGAAACTTGTATCATGTATGGCACCTGAATGACTTCTGTATTTATTGATCCACTGATTGATTTCTTCACTTCCTTCGATTTCCAATAATTATATTTTAATTTATTCTTCTTCTTCTTCTTCTTCTTCTTCTTCTTCTTCTTCTTCTTCTTCTTTCTATCTATCTATCTATCTATCTATCTTAATCTTGGAAGTAATTTTAATTCTGTTTTTATTCATCACTATCTTTCTCTCTTTCTACTGAATTTGTTTTTTGATCTGTTACCTTTTTGTCGTATTCATTTCTTACTTTATCTTTAATATTCTTTCCTTTTCTTTCGATTCTTCATCTTCTTTCTTGCTTCTTCCTTTTTTTGTCATATTTTTTTTATTTATTTTCTTCATTCGTCAATTGTATTCACTTTTTATAACAAATCTCCTGCGATTCGGATTTTCTTCTCTCTTTTTCCGCCTTTTCTCTAATTCTCGTTTCCCAACATTTAATGGGAATACGTTGCATTCATAACAAAACTGTGATATATTTTATGGATTTCTTTTTGAAATCGCACAAATAATAGCGCTTGTCAAACATCGATGTATCTGATACGGTGTGTGCACAGTAACGATTTTTATACTTTTCATAACGCCATTGCGTCGTCACACGACAAGTGGTTGTTCTGGTTATCAATATCTTCTTTTGAATATGAGATCTGTCAACATTTGTTGCCACTCAAAGCAAAATGAATAAAAACCTGATCTGCAGGTTCTTTCACAGCCATTTTCTCTAATCATGTAAAAAATATGAATTTTCATCAAATTACAGCCAATGTAAGTATCAAAAGATATTGTTGACTTTGTAGAATTCTTAGATATCGAATTTCAGAGAGTTGCTATTAACAGTGACTTGACAAGTAAGAAGCCAGTCGAAGTTTAGAGAATTACTATTTAAAAAAAACAGTCTATTGACAAGCAAGAAGCCATTTATTTAGTACTGTTTTTGCTCTTCAAATATTCTACATATTTCCAGGCGAGAATCTTTATCCTTGTCTCATTTCTGGTACTTAGCATATATTTTAATATTTTCTGAAGTTCTGGTAATAAGTATTTTCCTTATATAAAACATTCAATGCTGGATTATTATAGCATTATTGCCAGGCTGTACTGGTCCGTTTTGTTAAAAACAATAAATTGTCATTTAGTTGAAATAAATGAATATATAGACACTGACAGTGATTTCAAATAGGGGCCGCCATTTTGGTTTTGATCGAATAGTCTGCATTGCAGACTAAGCGAAATAACATCTAAAATGCAAAATATGATTAAAGTACATCACAAAACAAGTTCTATTGCACGCTACTATATGTATACTTATTTTATAAAACAAACTCTAGGGATCATCATACCACGACATCTTAAAAACTTATATATACGTTGACAGCGGCAATGTAAGTGACACGAAGACGTATAAGTACGTCAACAGCAGCGGAAGTGTTAATATATTATATCTCCATTTATGTTTTAACATTTCCAGTAATAAATTCTCGCTTGACTAATATTACTGCCAAATAAAAATTGATAAATCTCCATAATTTGTTCAATACATACACTTATTAAATCCAGTCATGCATCAGATTGTTCCTAAAAAAGCATGGCAAATAAAATATTTAAAAAAATACACTGATATAGCTTAGATCAAAACTAAAATAATTGAAATTAAATATTTAATTATTGTTCTAAATAATTTAATATATATATATATATATATATATATATATATATATATATATATATATATATATATATATATATATATGGGAGTATATCCAATTTTCAATGCGAGAATTTGACACCTGATTAAAATGAATGAAAATGTGTAAAACGTATTTTATGGTCAATTTTTTCTGCTAATCGAGACAGAAAAATTGAATAGAAATCCGATATAAATATAATTTTATATTTTAAGTAGTTTCGTAGATATTTGCGCTTAAAAGTACTGTTTATATTGTGTAAACACTATCATCATAAAATATAATTGCCTTTTGAATCGGCCGTAAGTACAGGTCGATTTTTCAAAAATCGTACAATTACTCAAAATTCAAATAGATTCTAATAAAATATTTGACATTTATGTAAAATAGAATTATTAAAGTACTTTATTATAAAAAAATCAGAGAAATTTGTTTTGTTTTTTTTAAATTTGATGATTTTCAATTTAGTATTAAAGCGTATTCACATTTAGTTTTACATTTTCAGATACAAGTCATTGAAAAAAGCAGACTGATATAATAAAAAAATTGAACCAACCAGAAAATCGATATGGAGGCCTTAGTTTGGAATTTCAAAAAAATTAAATTAAATTAAAATGAAATATGTCCCTTTTGGAAGAATTTTTTTAATTTTTTAACTTATGTATATTCAGTACCTATGTCTGTAACAAAATAATTTTCTAATATTTTTTTATTGAATTTTTAGCTATAATATCGAGTTAATAGTTAAATGTTTTTTAAAAAAAATATTTTCTTATTCTTTCAAAAGATGTAACATTTTGGTATTTCGTTTTTAACATTTTGATATTGTAGGCAAGGATAATTATCATACATGAAATTTCGGTAATTGCAATAAAACATTTAAGGAACAGATTTAAAATTTCCTTAATAATTATAAATTCTTTTATTTTACAAACATTGAAGATGATGAGATCAGGATTATACTAATACAGTAGATCGTGAATTAATTAAAATACCATTTTGGAATCAGGCGGACGCCGTCGCAAATTAAAAACATTCCGGGTAGGATTCGGACCAGCAATCCTAAAATTCTAGATTCTCAAGTTTTCATTGCTGCAATTATTTACGGCGATTTTTTACGTGATTTCTTGCCACGAAATTTTTGTACGATATCAGTTTTTATTAGTCGGAAATAAATTTGGGAATAATCGGAATTAATTACGAAATCCAGCGAAAGTCACCCATGAAATAAAAATAATTGTTTGTACAGAAAATTAAGTGGCGGCTGAAGAATTATTTTTGAAATTTTAAAAGGCAAAGTTAAATATTAATGCAATACTTAAATGCAGCGATCTTGTTTTAGTTCCTCTGTAGTTTAATAATTCAGTTCTCTATTCAGTTTCTTAATGTTAAGCTGAAATTCATCAAGGATAGCGGCGTAGATTTTTCCTAACCAAGTTCTTTCGATCTCCTCCAAGATCATCCTTAGGTATGATCTTATTGTAACTGTGATCTTTGCGATGCGGATTAAAAAAAAAAAACACCACTGAACGCACTCTAATTATTTTAAAATTTTAAATTTATCCGTTGTAGCTATGGAGTTTGTTTTTGTTTTTTTTTTTTTGCAAAA